CACTTGTACATGTTATAATACTTTTTGTCCATTTGGTGACCCAAAAACGTTGCGCTAGTGTGTACGTATTTTCAGCACGTCATAATAAGACATGTTCAGGCTGTTAAATGTCTGTCAATTTAACATTTGATAGAATTTTCGAGATTTTTTATGTGAAGTCAATGGTTTCACTTAGTAAAAATGGTCCTCATGTTGTTACACTTTCATAAAAAATGTCTTTTTTTTCTTTAAAATTCCCCACCGGCGCTTAGCACCTGGGAAATTACTCAAATTACCCGCTCTTTTTTTTAATTACCCGCTCCTTTTTTAATTACCCGCTCCTTTTACCCGCTCCTTTTTTAATTACCCGCTCCTTTTACCCGCGACCCGCTCCTTTTACCCGCGACCCGCTACCCGCTCCAATTAGATACTCCCGTCAGACGCGCACAGACTGTCATACGAATAAACATAAATTTTCGAGTTTTCTACTTCTACTAACATTTTTAAAGTTTTCATTGTCAATCATCTGTTTATTTCTAGTTCATTAGTCATTAATATGCTCTAAAAAACAAGGCTCTCAAATATATTTGTATATTTATTTGATAGTGTCATAGACATAGTGATATATATGAATTTACAAGCAATCCTGGATATGATAAAGACGATACAAGCTGTCCATTAAAAAATAACGGTATTCTATTCCACAAAGCAAAACATTTAAATCTCACTTGTATTATTAAGAATATATATAAAGCAAAAAATTTAAACTTGTGTGAGTTGTGTCAAAACGAAAGCTGTTTATAAAATTTATAAATGTTGTAAACACTACTAATAATATAAAGACTAAAGTGCCCATTGAAAGACATAATATAGTATACTGTCGTTTGACTTATCTTTGATATTTTAATACTGTAAATTTTTAACAGACAGCTAGATTAACATATACCATGAATGTTGAGTTTTAGCAATGCCGAGGGCCAATGCAGGAAGTTTTATAAGCTTTTATAGTCAACAATCTGGATACAGTTGGCGTCTTGGCGATATTTCGGAAATCAAAAGATCTCGCTATTTCGGTGCAATTCCATGCCACATCTCATCAATAAATAAATTCTTTCGGTTCGAGTATCTAGATATACTTTACTAACAGTTAAATAAATGAATAACCACATTGTTCGGTCTAGATATATATATTTTCTTGTACTGCTTTATATTGCCACGCCGTCCACGCGTGCTTTCTCAGTGACAAATCTATAAGTTGAAATCTGATCCAACTTGCTTGAATTGTAACTCGACACTAGATTATAGAGTAGAAAGTCACATCACGATAAATATTAATTTTTAATTGCAGTTCTTTTCACGATTTCTTTGAAGATTCAATGGATATTGTTTATATTTATAGAGCGATCTAATTAATTGTGATAGTAAACAATTTATTTAATTTATAATTGTGATAGTAAACGCCATTTTACGCAAAATCCGCGGGTCACGTGACCAGGCCATACCAGGGTATTTCGCTCCCCAAGAGCAAATACCCTGGGTACGAGGTTGCAACAAAACCTGATTAACATTGTTTTAGATTGGTAGTTGCGAGGGTAGTTGGTAGTAAACAGTTTCACAAAATGTGTTCTCAGAATGCTGGAAATGCCATTTAATTCACAGACCTAGCTAGCTTTACAAAAATATTCTGTCTGGGCAGACCATTCTAGGTCCCTCGAGATCGTGTCTACGACACTCGATGTGTGCAATTGATCTTAATTTTAGGGGGGAGGGGGGCGCAAGAATCGAGATAACTCTTTAATAGGGGCGACAAATTTAGCACCGGCCCCCCTTAAAATTTTCGAGCTACCATGCCACTGGAAATTGAGTAAACCATGACTCACGATATATACCCCATCAACACCCTCTGCTATGATGATCGTTTCAGACACAGATTGTAAAGTTGCCCAGAAATAATTACAAATCATTACAAATTTTACTGTATAGTGTATTCTATAATTATATATTTACTATATATAATACTGATACACTTCTGGGCCGCCTGTGGTTAATCCGGGCCTGATCAGGAGTTTTTAAATTTTACTTTCAGGAGTTTTTAAATTTCGCTTTTAGTTGTAAGGTTTGCAGATGTTTTAGCAGGACGAGAGCACATTCCTTGCGATAGTAATTTCTAGCATTAAATATTATAGCAACTCCTGCCTTCTGAAGATATAGAAGGAGTGAAACAATTAGTCCCACAAATTTTCATATCAATATGTTTGATACATGCTGATAAATAAACACACATGCATACACACAGTTACATACAAATGGAGATGAAAAGTATAATCTCCTGGTAACATTTTCCAGTTGCAAAAGCTAGCTAGCTGCAGCAATTAACATGGTAGTCATGGCTAGCTTTATACCAGGGTGCATTGTAAGCAGGCTTTTAGCCAGAAGGGCGTCCAGGCATCCTAGGACGCCCCTAGAACGAAAAATGGACGCCTTTGGATGCCCAAATTCTGGGGGAAAAGGGAAATTATTTTCAAAATTATATTCCTAAGTATATTAATATATCTGAAACGAAATAGCTTCAATTCTCATTATTTATTACACATTTGACATTTTGATCAATTTGATGGTGTACCTGGCGGAATGAAAATGTCGTAGTTATAGAAGCATAGCGGCACAAACTCACAAAGCCAAGTGTGTTTGAAAAATTTCGAACGAGCTTGGAACAGCTGATACTGACATGAAGTAACGTAAACTTCAAAGGTTTTCCACAGGAACATTTTCTCGAACCCCCCCTTTACTGTAGATGTATCATTATACCAAAATTGGACGTCCTCTTTTAGGACCCTGGCTAAAAGCCTGATTGTAAGTGCAACGCCAAAGATCTTCGGCGTGAGTTTGGCACATTACAATACTATCTACAGTAAATATTGGCATATCTTCAGCGTAGAGGTTGCATGAAATGCACCCTGGGCTTTATAGCCACTGTCATCTTCCTTTGAGTTCCTTTAAATAGTTCCTATCCAAAATAGCTGTCATGCTCCCTCCTGCCCATTCCCCATCCCACCATGCCCCTCCCCACCACATACGCGAGCATATACCCCTGACATACGTTATAAATTTGTCTGTCGTTTCAACGTCACCAGAATGTTTATCAGGATGCAAAGCTTTCGCTTTTATCTTGTATTCTGTAACAATTTGTTCCTCGCTTGATAATTCATCACAGTCTAGAAGATTGTACAAATAATCTTTGTGTTCCACATTTTCTGCGATTTCCATTCTAGAATTCCTTGGCACGAACTCCCAAAATTTCTTCAAGTCACCTTGGGTGCACAAATAAGTTAAATTCGATATCTACATAAATGGCCAGATGGGAAATTCTTCCGTCAGCAAACCTCGGCATGAATTAGAAGAATAGACCTAATGTTGACACGACCCAAGAAACTGGTGTCTAGTAAACAAACAAAAATGAAAAATTACAAAATGGCAGAAAACCAAGTCGCAGGAATGGCAGGAACGTCGACTGTAGTAACTGAAACTAGCTCGCATAATGAGGTTAGAAAGTTATATTTTCTTTTTAATAAGTCGTTGTACCGGACTAGTATGTGTAATATAACGAATTTCTAATGTAAAAAGGATGGCTAACGTTTTATAAACAGAAACTATTGCTATATTTATAAAAAAATATTTAATGTGCAATTGTGCAATAAATATATAATTGTACTGTTGTAATATTTGTATTACAATACATATATCGCCTGCTTGAAGTCCCAGGGCAGACTCCCAGGACAAAATTTAGCTGCCTGGTTACTTGGTCAAAAACTATTTCTCAATATTTCTATTTCTAAATTCTATTTCTCAAGTGTGCCTGTATATTAAATCCCAATCAGCCAAAAATCTGATAATGGTATTATTAGATTTGAAGACCTCGCATATTAAAACTAGGAGGTTCTTGAAGCCCAGAAATGCCATTTCCTTTGTTTTGAACTTTGAATTTGTCTCTTGAACAATGTACTAATTTTTCAAGCAAAAATAAGAGGGAGCATCCATACTCAACTTGCCACGAGAAACGTCAATTTGACGTTTGTGGGTGTGTGGGTTATTTTCTTTGACGTTTTTCCTGTGGCAGTTTGACACTTTTGAATATTATAAAAGTACAATATAATTTTTTTTTGTATAATATAAAATTCTATTTGTAATACGTACTTTAAAAACACAAATTTTCAATGTACAATATTTTTCCTAGTCAAGGAAAATATACAAAACAAACAAACTTTCTTACTTTGCCAGACGGTAAATCAAGGCTTTATATTTATTTGTTATGTTTGTTAATACAAGTATTTTTGAGCATTCACACTGTTTTTTTCTTGCCACGGATTGACGTTTCTAGGGTGGGTGGGTGGGTATGAAAAAGAAACGTCAAATTGACGTTTCTCATGGCAAATTGAGTATGGATGCTCCCCCTAAGAAAGATCTCAAAAAAGTACAAAAAAGTTTACTGAATTCTTATTTATTTAAATAATGGCTAGGTTCTAGAATACCCCACCACTGCCTTTAGAGGAAGGCATTGGAGGGTATTCAATACTGTAATACCGCAAGCAAATTTTGTCAATTACCACAGTTTTTGAGTCCAAAATTGCAAATACCGTGTACCGCTATACGTCGGGCATGTTGTTTACTTGTTTAGCCCACTTCTCTACTACATTATCCAAATCGATTTCCAGATCTTTTTTGCAATTCAATAGCATAACCTAGCATAGCTTGTTGAATTGCGCAAGGCTGATTTAACAGTTTTTGAGTTTTTAGTTCACTGGATATTATTTTTTTTTCATTCGTGCAACGAGTTATTAAATTAAAGCCATAAAGGCATGGCGGAAAAGCAATTAAGATTAGTGACAATATCCGTCACTATCCAGTTACTAAGCAACCGGAAATAGATATAAAGCAGCCGGAGTCAAGGTCGGAGTTTACATAATAATGTAAAGGAGCCGTAGACTTTCCAAAGTCCTTTCCAAACCCTTCTATGGCGCGACTTCGTCGCTTGGGTCGCGCGCTCCCTTCCCCGCGCCCTCCCTCCTCCATGGTCGACTTGTGGCAAGTCTACCGGAGCCGGAGTTCAAAATTGTAAAACAGCTGGAGCCGGAGCTGAAAAACCGGAGTTTGCACACCACTACAAGTGGTTAGGGTAGTTGTTAGGTCAGTGGTGGGGTTAGTCAATTTATCCCCCGGGATACATCTTCTGCAAAAATTCACAAACTAGCCCCTCTAAAATTTGAGGTCCTTGACGTGGCTAGAGAAAACAATAAATCCCATCCCAATATTTACTATAAAATGTCAGCGGTTTTCTGCATTTGTATTTCAGCTAGTGCTGGTGGTGTGGTTGTCTAGGGCGTTGCGTGCGTTCTCACATGCTGCTAATTAGCGGTTCAAATGCCGCGATGTCCAACCTTTTGTTTTTCTTTCTCATATTTTTTCTCTAAGATTTTCCCTACTGTTGCCTTTATATAATACCTTTTGGTTAGATTAGGGTTAGAGTTAGGGTCAGGTTTATTTTTTAAGTGTCAAATTACTAGACAACACAGTTTAAGTGTGGAGGTAGTAGACAACACAGAGGAGTTACTACTGTATGGCTGTAAATTACTATTATTAAATCGCCACTTTTTTCAAAATTCGATAATTAATTTTTTAGAAATGTTATTTTGCTGTCACTTCGGGCAATTTTGTAGTTTGCGCCAATTTCCATAATTTGCGCGCGAATTTGAATTGTGTTAATTAATGCTAGATGTTGAGCCGCTGACATGATCTGATTTGATCGCGGACGGGGGTCACAGAACGCCTGGGATAAATTGACTACCAGTGGTGGGGCATTCTAGAATTGCTCCATGACATTATAATAAATAGAATTATTTGTTTAAACCAACTGACAACTTTGAATCGTGAATATTATACAAAAATACTGGCTGTTACAACATTTTCACTGATCAATGATCGGCAATAAATTGCTTATGATTGTGGAAAAGCAGGGCTTCCGACTTGAAAAAGCAGGGAAAGTCATGACTGCTGATCACGGAAGGGTACAAAAGCTGGACCCCCTCATCTGGACCCCCTTCTGGACCCCCATATGGACCCCCTTCTGGACCCCCTTCTGGACCTCTCGGAATATAAAATAAATTCAAAATAGGGATTAAAATAAATACTCTGCAGAAATAATGATTTTCATAAATAATAGATTTTAATTTATGGAAGTGGGCCTAGTTGCGAAGTAGTCTTGTGTAATAGGTTAGACAGGTCACCACTTTATATTAGATCAAAAGAATAGTTTCGGCCATGTTAGGGTCAGGCATATTTAGAGTTACGGATAGTGCGCCATATTTAGCGTTTTTATATTGTTATTATCGTTGATGCACTATCTCCTTGCAAGATGAAGTAACAACAAACTATAACTTGGCGGCCGGGAAAAAAATAATAGCATGTTGTGCTTCCTTATTCTGTGACCTTGTTTAAAGGGTATGGGCAATTTTATTCATTTTATTGCTTCATCATGAAAGTGCATGAAAAATTAAGCCGGTTGGCCGTTTAATGCTCTATTCTATCTCATCTAGTTCCGAAGTTATATGAAAAAATGTGCAAAATATAAAGTGCTGATTCTGTGACCTTGTTTAAAGGGTATGGGCAATTTTATTCATTTTATTGCTTCATCTGAAAGAGCATGAAAAATTAAGCCGGTTGGCCGTTTAATGCTCTATTCTATCTCATCTAGTTCCGAAGTTATATGCAAAAATGTGCAAAATATAAATTGCTGATTCAGCACAAAGTGTGACGTCATTAGCTGGTAAGAATGTTTATTGAATACTACACTGAAGCATAATGGCTCAGTTATTATGGGATCAAATCAAATGACATGAATTAGAAGTATTTTTCCATGGGTCTCATCATGTACTATCTGCATGCAAAATTTCATTTGATTTGAGCCCATAATAACTGAGCTATGCTTCAGTGTAGTATTCAATAAACATTCTTACCAGCTAATGACGTCACACTTTGTACTGAATCAGCAATTTATATTTTGCACATTTTTGCATATAACTTCGGAACTAGATGAGATAGAATAGAGCATTAAACGGCCAACCGGCTTAATTTTTCATGCACTTTCAGATGAAGCAATAAAATGAATAAAATTGCCCATACCCTTTAAACAAGGTCACAGAATAAGGAAGCACAACATGCTATTATTTTTTTCCCGCCAAGTTATAGTTTGTTGTTACTTCATCAGGCAAGGAGATAGTGCATCAACGATAATAACAATATAAAAACGCTAAATATGGCGCACTATCCGTAACTCTAAATATGCCTGATCCTAACATGGCCGAAACTATTCTTTTGATGTAATATAAAGTAGTGACCTGTCTAACCTATTACACAAGACTACTTCGCAACTAGGCCCACTTCCATAAATTAAAATCTATTATTTATGAAAATCATTGTTTCTGCAAAGTATTTATTTTAATCCCTATTTTGAATTTATTTTATATTCCGAGAGGTCCAGAAGGGGGTCCAGAAGGGGGTCCAGATGGGGGTCCAGAAGGGGGTCCAGAAGAGGGGGTCCAGCTTTTGTACCCTCCCGTTGATCACCATGATTGGGAACTTTGGGAATGTCATTTCAAGCCCTGATGGTAGATCTAGAAATACCTGTATGTTATGTAAACCATTTTGTAACTGTACTATAGAAGCTATATAGAAGAAATTAGGGATAATATGCAATTATACAAAACCTTGGATTTCTGGATACATGTAGATTAAAAATGAAATTTGTGAAGAAATTCAAGAAATTCCATTGTAAATAATCCTAGTTGGAAATGTCGTACGTATAGTACATTAGGAAGGTTTTTACTGCTAGGTAAATCATGTAGACAAAATTTATACTTAAGTTTACAGTGCCTACCATAGAACTAACTAAAGTTACAGTTTGTGAGTAAATATATCTGGATATTGGAACATCATATTTTAAACTACAGTTTTTGTGGCTATAGCCACAATGTAATGCTAAAAGTGTAAGAGATGTGAAGTTGTCGACTTTACTTTGGAAACTGACGTTCGATCATGGCATGAGGCGACGATATTAAATGCCACAGAAAAGGTATTTAACAACTTTAATAGTTTAATACTGGCAGATGCCTCACCTACCATACAGTTGGCAACGCTGATAGAAATACTCGAAGGATTTTTTCACAGCAAACGGTAAGTTAATTTTTTGTTATTTCAATTGATATTTATGTTTAGGCCTATAATTTGTGAATCTGTCATTGTTATTCATGTCTGTTCTGGATTCTGCTTCTGGTCAAGGAGATTTTGATCATGCGTCATATAAAGCTCTATAGTGAGTTTATATAATACTGCAGTCAAGTGAGTGAGTTTATATAATACTGCAAGCAGCACAGATCTTGAATATTAATATTTAATATATCATTATGCGGGTAAATTAAGAAGCAAGCCCATTGCTGGTATATTATACTACAACTAGCTGCCCTATCCACTTGCATATAAAACTACAATTAACACAGAAAACAGGCTGGACTATTTGATATTACTATAGTCTTTAATGGTCACTGACATTGCACTGACTGCAAATTAATGGGTGCTAGCTATTATTGAGATCTTT